GGAGGGGTTATAACAAATAATATGGGCTGCAGAAGTCCATGTGGTTGCCAGTGGGAAGGAACACAAACCAACCCCCCCCAACTTGAACCACTTCCCCATGGAATCCCAACAGCCCAGGTTAGCACAGTCTGTGACAGTGACTGCTTGCTGAGCAGCCTGCAGCCTCTGCCCCATCAGCCAAACTGCTGGGCCACAGGACAGCCTGTCTGCCTCAGCTCCTGCAACACAACATCTCTGTGCAAACAGCGATAGGTTCTGTGTTTAATCATCCTCGCTTTCACCAGGTTCATAGGAATAGAGGAATACAGCCCGATCCAAAAAAGCCTGCAAACCCTCAGCAGCCATATGCTGAGTGGTGCTAATTTAAACTCAGATTGCATGAGGGTAATGGTCAATAAAATGTGAGAGCTGCAGAAAGTCATAGAGAGTTCACCAGTTCCATCCGGAGCCTGGGGAGCATTTCTCTATGAACACATGGGGTAGAGGAGATGTTAGAGCACTGAGATGCTCACACAACCTCGGGACCTTTGCTGTGCACAGGCTGGCAGACATGGGACACAGCGTGGTCGGCGTGGATGTCAGCGAGCAAGCACTGAAGGAGTTCTTTGCAGATCAGTGTCTCCCTTATTGTGAAGAGCCAGTCCCAGGGATCTCAGGAGCCAAAAAGTTGCAGGTATGTCTCCTGCACTGCCACACAGTCTGGTGTGTTCAGCCATGTGATGCAGGCACAACGGAGCAAACAAGTCCTTCTGCTTTGTGCCTCTGCCTTACCGGTAGTCATTCACTTCTCCTTTTGAGGTTTGGAAGGGAGCACTGGACTGAGCAGTTCTTCTTTTCAGCGTGTTACTTTAGGCTTTTTGAATAACTTTAAAAGGCCTGAACATAAAGTTGACAAGGTAGCATATTTTAAAATTGAACAGTTGCATGCCTCAACGGGCCAGAACCTCTATGGAAAGGATCAGGAGAGGCGCCTCAGTTAAAATAAATAAATACAAAAGTATAAAAGCTTTCTCGTGGGTTTCCTTCATTACATCTAAGTGTATATTTAAAGATGTAGTTTCTGATGAGTATTTTTTTTCCCTTGTTTTTTATTTTAGAGTACTTCTGGAAACATTTGTCTGTACTGCTGCAGTATTTATGATTTGTCCAGGTAGGAATGCACAGAGTGTTCTACAATTTTCTATAACCAAACGTGGCCCAAAATTGCTGGAGTTCAGGGGAGGTTGAACTTTTGGACAATGCCCTCAGACATAAGGTTTGTATTTTGGGTGGTGCTTCGTGAAGCTGGGAGTTGGATTTGATGATCCTTGTCAGTCCCATCTAACTCAGGATATTCTGTGATTCTATGATTAATACTGTCCAATCATATTATTTGGACCAGATCCTCTAGAAAAAACTTTTTTTTAAACTTGTGTGAGAAGAGTGAATGGCCACTATCTAACACACTTTTTAAAATGGACTTAAAAGTATTTTGCATCATGCCCTGTTTGTGTCACTACATAATACACTGTCCAACAGTGACTCTCCAAGTGCCTTTACAAACATGGCTCAACTGACTCTAAATTACTCTTACTGCTATAATATCCTTATTTATTATTTCTTCCTTATTAGTTAAAAGACACAATGGAAAATGCAGAATACTTCAGTACCACCCACACTGCTGAATCCTGAAAAATATTGTGGCCCTTTGTTCTCTGCACCCTCTGGAGTCGCTTCTCAGATCTGGTGCTGGCTTTGCACCTGCTCAGGTGTCAGTGGGTGGGGGATTTTGCAGAGCACAGAGCTGTGCAGGGACTCTCTCAACCTCTAGCACAGGAGGCTCTGCCTTGGGCAGTAGCATGCCTTGCCTGTTTATTTATCCCCAGAAGCCTCCTGGTGGTGCTCACTACAGTTGTAAGTCTGTCCTGAAATGTCCTCAGGCCTGCACCAGTACTTGGGATAGCTGGAGACTGCAGGCTGTGCAAGGAGGTCAGTGCTTAGCCTTTACAATGGACTGTTGCTAAGACTTCTGCTGTTGTAGCTGACTTCATTTGCTTTGAATGTTGGGTATATAACCAGTCTTGCAAAAATGAATGCCATGGAACAGATAGATACTGCCTGGTTTCCTCCCTGCCTTCCCCGCCTGTGATGGAGCTACTTGCTGTGCTGATTCCTACATACCCTTCTAACCATGAACTGACAGGTTACCCAAGGACTGCTTGAGTTTCCCATCTACAGTTTTTGAAAAATCCAGTTTCCAAAATTGGTAGCTAGTAGCATGGTGAGACCCATACCTTCCATCACGATGCAGAGGAGTAATGCTGTGAGATTAACCAAAAATAGGTAACTAGTGAAATTTTCAGTTCGTGTCTGTGAGCCCAGTACACAGGTTT